CCTTTTAAGAAGTTCGTCCAGCACACCGCCTGGAAGGGGTTCCTTCCTGTCGGTGGAGGTACAATGTCCCTCGCCGGCTAGAAAGAAAACCTTTCCAGTTCGGCAGTGGCGAGGTATATCGGCCAGCAAGGGGCCATGTACCTTCTCGACGGGCTGGAAGGAAACCCTTTCAAGTTCCAGCCCGGCCATTGGGCCTTGGGGTATCCGTTGAGATACCAGGGTATCTGCTGGAAAAATCAGCGGAAAAGGGCATATCCGCACCCGAACCCGCATCCCGCTGGCGGGTATCCCGCTACAGCGGGCGGGTATCCGCCAGCGGATACGGATAACGGGTATCCGCCAGCGGATACGGATAACGGGTATCCGCCAGCGGATAACGGGTATCCGCGACGGATACCCGGAGACCATCTCTACTCCATACTGCTCAACTCCACACCTCCATCCCTCCATACACATCAATATTCAATCCTTCAATTTCAACCCCACCATGCAGATACATGACCAATGAACCAGAACAAATATATATTTCTCTTGATGAACATACTGTACCACTCACCAAGAGAAGATATCATTCACTCTAAATGACTGGTGCAGGCTGGTCATCAGGAGTTCATAGATATCACTGACGTGGTCTGGACTGGTCATCAAGGGTGCCAGACACTGATACACTGGCCCAGGTTTCTACAAGAGAATGTAACCCCTCTGGGTTACATAATAATAAGTATTACTATATTTATTCTTTAAGTTGACAATTATTTACCTCTTTATTTATGTATCTCTCTTGTGATAATTAATGTAACTCTCTCTCATAAAAATTATAATCAATTTGAAAAGGATGATTATCTATTGTGGTTATCCAAGTGATTATAATATTATCCTGTTTATCTTCCTTGTGTATCTCCTGAAATGAGAGAGATATTCACCACATGTACATCTGTCATGCTTTGAAAAACTTGACACTTTTCTCAAAGAAATGATGTAACCATATGGGGACTGCACCAGTCCCACTAGCAGTTTGACCACTACTCTGTAATTTTTAGGGGGATTACTTCTTTCCCTAAGATCCAACCCTCAGGCAATTATTATTAACATACAAACCCAGCTATCACTGCAAGAAAAAATTGTGCAACTGTAAACCAGTTGCATGGAGTGTTCTTGCGTGTATCCTACTAACATTATACTAAATAGTGATTGGAAGCTCTTGAG